TTTGTCATTCACATTTCATTCTGTCCCTCCTTTTGCACCCTTTCTTTAACGATTCTGTTCCACCATTTCTTTGATATTGGTGTAACTCTTGTCCCGCGGCGAGTTGGCCGTGGCGAATTGTCAAAGGCCCTGTTGACTGAGATTCATCCTGTGTTAGGACAATGGAAGGACATGTTTAAAGCCGTGTTTTAAAGAAAGGGTAAATAATATGCTGATAGAAGTAGTCATTGTTGTTTAAAAATGTTTTTTTTAAGCCTCTGATAGTTGCAGAGGAAGTGGGAAGTGGAATAATAACATCCAAGTGGGTAGGGTCAACATTTGCAGCTTTGGTTCAATTTGGGAGCAAATAGATAATCCTCAATTTATCACCCTTCACTTAACAATGGTTCTAATTAACCCCAGCCTCCCAACTTAAGACTGTCTTCCCACCTCTGCAGTCATGTAGTTGTAAATTAGGGGCTTGGCAACCGATTCGCATTTCTGACCAGTGACAGAGTCCTGCAGTCATGTGATCATGATCTGCGATATTTTTTGCCAATTTCTGGTGAAAAGCGCTCCTGGTTAAGTTGAATTTGCACTTCCTGTACGACCGTGATTCAGTTTATGATCATACGACTTGACTTAGAACTGTTGAAAATATGGTCAGAAAAACAATTCGGGTTCTTTGATGACTCATCTTACGACCACAACAACTTACAATGGGAATTCCTATCCCAATTGCAGTCGTATGTCAAGGATTGCCTGTACCTTAAACTTGGAGGCTTACAGCAAGACAGAGGTTGACTTTAAAAGTAGCCAGGGATCAAAATTTCCCTGACGCAGCCAAATTCTTTCCCATTTGCTTCTGTGAATTTGAATCAGCCTTGAGAAAAACATTCCAGATGGTCCTCAACTTACAACCACAACGGAGCTCAAAAAGTCTGTTGGTAAGCAAGACAGTTCTTAAGTGAGTTTTGCCCCATTTTATGACCTTTCTTACCACAGTGGTTAAGTGGATCACTGCAGTAGTTGTTAAGTGAATCTGGCTTCCCCATTGACTGCTTGCGAGAAGGTCACAAAAAGGGGATCCCGTGACCCTGAGACACTGCAGCGGTCATAAGTACGAGTCACTTGCCAAGCGTCTGAATTTTGATCACGTGAACATGGGGATGCTGTTATGGTTATCCGTGTGAAAAATGGCCTCGTCACTTTTTTCAGTGCCGTCGTAACTTCAAACGGTCACTAAACGAACTGTTATGAGTCAAGGACTCCCTGTACCCAGCACTTTCATTCAGCTCCTGATCTTCTTTAGGGTCTTGGTTAACTTGGAGCGTAATTAACAAAAATTCAATTAATGAATTTATTTTTCCAGGAAGCCTCGTTTGAATACCTACAGAATGAGGGGGAGCGCTTGCTTTTGGAAGCCATGGATGAGCTGGAAGTGGCTTTCAACAACACAAATGTGCGCACCGACTGCAACCACATATTCCTCAACTTCGTCCCTACAGTTATTATGGACCCTTCAAAGGTCAGTTGTTCTCCCCTCCCTGATTTTCACCCTCTCTGCTTAGGCCAGTGGTGGCGAACCTATGGCACGGGTGCCAGAGGCGGCCCTCAGAGCGCTCTCTGTGGGCACACACACCGTGGTCCCAGTCCTAGGCCTTCAGCTGGGTTTTATAAAACCTTTTCGCTTTAGGCCTCCGTCGCCATGTGCAAAAAAAAAAAGGTTCAATCAATCAGTCAATTTCAATTTCTCACGAGAAAAAAAAGATCTTGCAAAGTTGGAATTGATTGATTGAACTTTTTAGTCCCACCCAGTCTGCCGTTACCACCGCAGCCACGCCCACCCAATGGGCCACACCCACCCAATGGGCCACACCCACCCAGCACCTGACGATATGTAAGTGGGTTTGGGGTTGCAGTTTGGGCACTCGGTCTCTAAAAGGTTCGCCATCACTGGCTTAGGCAGTGTCGAAAATGTAGTGCAGTTGTTATGCCAAAAGAATTGCAAAACAAGTGTCCAGGCAGGAATCTTTTTTAAAAAAAATGTATTATTTATATCTCATCTTTATTATCTTTAAAAACAACTCGAGGGGGGGGAGGGCAAGTGACTGGCCTATCGTCACCCAGCCGGCTTTAATGCTTAAGGCGGGACTAGAACTCACAGTCTCCTGATGATTGGTCCAAAGTCACCCACTTGTCCTTCCTGCCTAAGGCCGGGACTAGAATGCACAGTCTCTAATGATTGGTCCAAAGTCACCTAGCTGGCTTTCATGCCAAAGGCAGGACTAGAACTCACAGTCTCCTGATGATTGGTCCAAAGTCACCTATCTGGCTTTCATGCCTAAGGCAGGACTAGAACTCACAGTCTCCTGATGATTGGTCCAAAGTCACCTAGTTGTCCTTCATGCCTAAGGCAGGACTAGAACTCACAGTCTCCTGATGATTGGTCCAGTCATCTAGCTGGCTTTCATGCCTAAGGCAGTCTTCTTTCCTCTTCCCCTGTTTACATTTTCCTTGGTGCCACACCTCTAAGATGGTAAGAGACTGGGTTATTTTAATGAAAATCATTATCAGCAGTGCTTTTTTTCTAAAAAAAAAAAAAAAAAAGGTGCCGGAACTCACACATGTCATACAACCCGCCTTGCCTACCCTACAAGGTTCCATCCAAAAAAGGTGCCGGAACTCCGTTCTGGGCGTTCTATGACAAAAAAAGCCCTGATTATCAGTGTTCTAAGGAGTCTTTTCAGCTGAAAAGTGGGACTCTCCCCCCCCAAAACAGTCAATCAATCAATCAATCAGGAATCTAACAATTGCACTGTCTCGATACTGTGGAAAGAGCTTCTATAGAGGGTCCTTGGGAACAGAGACCGTCTGAGTTTCTGAGAGAACACAGGCTCTGCCTTCCAATTGCCTTGTTTTTAATATGCACTATTTACCAAACAGCAGTATATTCGAAAGTTTAATAAAATGGCAGAATAACATGCCTCCGAGCAGTAATCCCCGAGTTGATTTAAGGTGCGCTGGCAGCAGCGAAACACAGGGGCGCGGATGCCGTTTTTGCACATACAATTTTGCTGTTAATGTTTCTCTCCCCATTAAGACTGGGTGGATGGAGGAAGTGAATTTGTGTGACGTCCTCCCAAGGCAATACATTCCCCCCATTCCCTCTTGTGCCTCTACACAGAAACACATACGCGCAATTACCCACAATCTTACACTGAAAATTAAGGTGATCGCAATTGTGCGATCAAATGCGGGACCCCTCTCCCCCCAAAAAATAAGAATAATCAAGTCTCACTGCAGTATTTATTTATTTATTTAACAGTGTGCAGTGGGAGGACTTTCCTCCAGCAAATCATAGGAGGGACTCCTGAACCAGCTTGGTCGAATGGTTTGAGTCCCATGGCTAGAAGCCAGGAGACTGTGAGTTCTAGTTCTGCCTTAGCCGTGCAAGCTGGTTGGATGACTTTGGGCCAATCGCCAGGAGACGGAGTGTTCTAGTCCCGCCTTAGGCATGAAAGGCAGCTGGGTGACTTGGAGTCCCTTTTTCAGTCCAACTGACCTCATGGTGTTGTTGTTTTGGGGAAAATAGGAGGAGAAAGGAGTAGGGGGTGTGTTTGTCGCCTTGAATTGATTATAAAAAACAAAATAATAATAATAATAATAATAGTAGTAATAACAATAACAATAACAATAATAATAATAATAATAATAATAATAATAATAATAATAATAATAATAATAATAATAATAATAATAATAATAATAGTAAAGTTGGAAGGGATTTTGGAGGTCATCTAGTCCAGCCCCCTGCTCAGGCAGGAAACCCTATACCATTTCGGACAAATGGCTGTCCAGTCTCTTCTTAAAAACTTCCAGTGTTGGAGCATTCACCGCTTCTGGAGGCAGGTTGTTCCACTGGTTAATTGTTCTGTCAGGAAGTTTCTCCTTAGTTCTAGGTTGCTTCTCTCCTTGATCAGTTTCCATCCATTGCTCCTTGTCCTGCCTTCAGGCGCTTTGGAGAATAGCTTGACTCCCTCTTCTTTGGGGCAGCCCCTGAGACATTGGAACGCTGGTGTCATGTCCCCCCTCGTCCTTCTCTGCATTAAACTAGACATACCCAGTTCCTTATATGCTTTAGCCTCCAGTCCCCTAATCATCTTTGTTGCTCTTCTCTCTAATAAAGGTGGGATATACATAAATAAAATGGAAATGATTAAATTCAAAAAGGGGCACTCATATTTATTCATTTCAAGAAAGGAGGAGAAAATGAAACAGTCATACACAGGCATAGGTAAGAGATGTCATAAGCATAGATATTCATAATTAGCAAACCTCAAGTTATTTCCTTGCCCTTTTACTGTTACTGTCTTCAAGAAAGAGTGATTGTGAGTGGTCCATGGGCTGCTCTGAGCTTGATTGTTTTCTTGCAGATGTTTCCTTATCAAACTAAGTAACATCATCAGTGCTAGGTGGATAAGGAAACATCTTCAAGAAGACGACTAAGCTCAGAGAGCACCAAGGACCCCTCATTTCAGTCCTGAGCTACAAATATTCTGTTCTCTAAGAATTATTGTCTTAATAAAAAAGCACATCAGTTACTATGGCCATAGAAGTTTTGATAAACTTACTGAGAACCAAGCACTTCAAGGTTGTCTCAATTAGCACACTTTCTTTTTATGTTTTGGTTTTGCTAACCCGCCCCCACTCCTCCAAGAATTTGTTTTCCTCACCCAACCACGTATTAGTGCAAGAATCCAGATTAAAGCTTCTGCAGCAGCCTTTGCTTCCACGCTCAAAAACTGCTTTTATTCTTAGAGAGCTGCTTCTCATATTCAGTGGGAATTTGCCTCTAAATCATTTAATCAGGGGTCTCCAAGACATGTGGACTTCAACTCCCAGAATTCCTCGGCCATTCTGGCTGAGGAATTCTGGGAGTTGAAGTCCACAAGTCCTAAAGCGGCCAAAATAGATAGTCTAAATAGATTTAAATCTGAGGTCTCCTAACCATGGCAAGTTTTAAGACATGTGGACTTCAACTCCCAGAATTCCTCAGCCGGCCATTCTGGCTGAGGAATTCTGGGAGTTGAAGTCCACAAGTCCTAAAGCTGCCAAAACAGATAGTCAAAATAGATTTAAATCAGGGGTCTCCCAACCATGGCAAGTTTTAAGACATGTGGACTTCAACTCCCAAAATTCCTCAGCCGGCCATTCTGGCTGAGGAATTCTGGGAGTTGAAGTCCACATGTCTTAAACTTGCCAGGCTTGGAGACCCCTGATTTAAATCCAATCTTTGATATCCTGAACTCTAGAAGAAAAGCGAAGAGGCCTTTGAATGGCCATTGATTAGAGGCTGTTGAATGGCCTTGCCAGCTTTGTGTGGTTTATCCTCATCCTCACGTTTCGCTCGATTTATTTTTGTTCCCCATTGTGGCTCAGATCGAGGAGTCTGTCCGGAGCATGGTTATGCGCTACGGGAGCCGTCTGTGGAAACTTCGAGTCTTGCAAGCTGAGCTGAAGATTAACATTCAGCTCGCACCCAGCGGCAAGGCTATTCCGATCCGGCTGTTCTTGACCAACGAGTCTGGCTATTACCTGGACATAAGCCTGTATAAAGAAGTGACGGACTCCAGAACTGCNTCGAGGAGTCTGTCCGGAGCATGGTTATGCGCTACGGGAGCCGTCTGTGGAAACTTCGAGTCTTGCAAGCTGAGCTGAAGATTAACATTCAGCTCGCACCCAGCGGCAAGGCTATTCCGATCCGGCTGTTCTTGACCAACGAGTCTGGCTATTACCTGGACATAAGCCTGTATAAAGAAGTGACGGACTCCAGAACTGCGCAAGTACGTCTCCATCAGATGAATGCAGAATTATCATTGGAGAAATATTTCTCTTTTGAGGAGGGCCTCCTTATCTGTGGCTGTCAGCTCCCGGTTCAATACGATAGTCCTCCACTCATTGATTTAGTGACTGTTTGAAACTACAACGGCACTGAACAAAGTGATTCATGACCATTTTTCATACGACTGTGGCAGCCTCCCCCACGGTCGCACGATCAGGATTCAGACGCTTGGCAACTGCTTCACATTTACGACGGTTGCAATGTTTTAATATCCCAGGATCACGTGACCACCTCTTGCGCCTTTCTGGCGATCAAAGTCAAGGGGGAAGCCAGATGCGCTGAACGACCCGTGTTGCTAACTTAACAACAGCAGCGGTTCACTTGACAGCTGCGGCAAGAAAGGTCATAAAATGGGGCAAGACTCCCTTAACGACCGTCTTGCTTAGCAGTGGAAATTTTGGGCTCAGTTGTGGTTTTCAGTCGAGGACTAACCATACAGGGATTATCCCTCAAGCTACAACCAGCCATTCGTTTAGTGGCTATTTGAAGGGACCTGAAAAAAGGGACTTATTTATTTATTAAATTTGTAGGCTGCCCACCTCCCTTTGGAAGCAAAGGCCCGGTGGGGTCAGGTGCCTGTCTTTGCTTTCTTTGACACTCGCTAGCAACTGCCATAACCAAGGGGGAGGGGCATTTGGGAGGGGAAGAGTGCTGGAGGTGTGAAAGAGTGCTGTGGGAATTGGGTGTGTGTGTGTTATGGACACTAACAGGAACTAGAGGTGCCAGATCCAGCCATCTTCCTTCAAGGATGCCAGCCCTGGGAAACAAATTTACAATAGAGCCTGAGACCCTGGGATCTCAAAACATGGAAACTGAGCCTGATTGGACTATTCTCCCAGGGGGGAGGGTTTAGGACAGACATGTCAAACACAAGGCCCGGGGGGGGCGGATGCGGCCCACAAAGTGGTTTCATGTGGCCCGCGAAGCCATCCTGGAAACAGTGAGGGAACGGCCCCCTCTGTCTTGGCCCTGGCCCAGGCCGGCCGGGAGCCAATGTACAATTTTGTGGTGGCCATCTATGCTGAAATGCATTCAGTCTTAGCTCCACAAGGCCATCTAAAAACAGCGAGGAACCAGCCCCTGCTGCGTCGGCCCCGCCCCCTGGGTGCATGCTGGGGAGGTGTCACCCTTTGTGAGGAATGAAGAAATGGACCATGCCTTGGCGCTTGCCCCGGTCCCACCCCCTTCTGCCAGAGACCCTCAGATCTGTCCCACTCCTGCCCAGGCCCCCACAGGCACCCTTGACGCGAACGATGTAGAGCTGGCCATGCCCACCCAGTAGGCCACACCCACTCCATCCACGCCCACCCAGTAGGCCGCACCCATCCTGGCCGTACCCACCCGACCCTCCGAGGGCAACCGCAATGCTGATGCGGCCCTCAATGAAATTGAGTTTGACACCCCTGGTTTTGGACATTGGGGATTGCTTTCAATATTTGATTTTCGTGTGGTTTTCCTTCAGAGTTTGCCTCGCTCAGGCTGCACTCAATGTCTCTAGTAAAAGTACCTTTTCTTTAACACCTATGGAGTCGAGGGTCGTTCTTTCCGAGGGAGCAGGCTGGGGCCAGTTGGACAGGTGGCTTAAAAGATGATCAAAGTGAGAAAATGAGAGCTGGTCCTTACAGCATCCTCATGGATATGACTGTCACAGCATTCCCATGGTCGTGTGATGAATATTTGGGCTCTTGCCAACTGGCCTGTATTTACTAAGTTGCAGCATCCTGGGATCACGTGGTTTGCTATTTATGACCTTCCCAGCTGGCTTCTGACAAAGTCAATGAGGGAAGCCAGATTTGCTTAATTTCTACATCAGGGGTCTTCAAACTTGGTCCTTTTATGACTTGTGGACTTCAATTCCCAGAATTCCTCAGCCAGCGTGCACGCTGGCTGAGGAACTGTGGGAGTTGAAGTCCACAAGTCATAAAAGGGCCAAGTTTGAAGACCCCTGGTCTACATGATTCACTTAGCAATTGCAGCAATTTACTTAACAATTCTACCCCCCCCAAAAAGGTCATATAATTGGGTGCAACTCATTTAGCAACCATATTACTTATCAACGGAAATCCTGGTCCCAGTCGTGGTTGTAAGTTGAGGACTACCTATATTGACTCAAAAGTTCTTACCCGCTTTCCTGATCTGTTGGAATATAGTTTCCAGGATTCTTGGCTAACTGAAGGCTTAAAGCTTGTAGAAAATATTTCTGGACCTAGAGTGTAGCTGAATCCAGATTGAGGGATTAAACAAAAAAAAAATCACGATGTTCTGACTTAATCCTGGATGTACGTTCTCTTCTTTTCAGATTATGTTCCAGGCTTATGGCGATAAGCAAGGGCCCCTACATGGGATGCTGATCAATACTCCTTATGTGACGAAGGACTTACTCCAGTCGAAGAGATTCCAGGCCCAGTCCCTGGGGACGACCTACGTGTATGATATTCCTGAAATGTTTCGACAGGTAAGGACTGTGGAAAGTGTTTCTACTCTCCTAGTTTGGGTTGAGCTCCTGTTACTTGCCCCTGGCATATAAGCGTTGCTTGACCAAGGTCTCTACAGGATTGTTTGGGACGCTACACACCCTCTTCACAATCTGTTTTCCTTGTTACCTTCTGGGAGGAGGGGGCTTTGTGGTATCCAAAGCAGAACATCCAGAATCAGTCTCAGTTTTGTTCCATACAGTATCAATCTTGTGAACTCTCAAGCTTCCTCTTTCCACTATGTATTCAAGATGGGGAGTGATTAATATTTATATGTATTTATATGTAAAGGTGTAGGTATATATTTATGTATATATAGGGCGTGTCTATATGTATGTTATGTATGTGTACACTTTGGAGAGCAGGCAACAGAATTTCATTTTTAATGTGTGCCAGGGTGCCTACAGTAAAAAATGACAATAAAGATTATCCTGTCTGTCTGTCTGTCTGTCTGTCTGTCTGTCTGTCTGTCTGTCTGTCTGTCTGTCTGTCTATCTATCTATCTATCTTATTTGTCCTACCTAGCAGTTGAAAGAATTTAAATGCAAGTAGATAAATAGATACCACTCTGATGGGAAGATAATAGTGTTCATTTAGTCCTGCCAGCCACATGACCACGGAGAAGCTTCTTCGGACAAAGCTGGTTCCCTCAGCTAGGAAATGGAGATGACCACCCCACCCCCAGATTTGGACACAACTGGACATGGGAAACCTTTCATTTCTTTAGTTTTAACTCGGGAGAGATGGAGAAGAGTTAATTCACTAGCCTGTCTCCAATAATGCTCTATCACAGTGGTTCTCAACCTTTCCTTCACCACGGACCCCCCTGTTAAATACCTTTTGTGGCCACGGACCATGGGCACGGAACCCCAAGATTTAATTCGAGGTTTAAATCATAACATGTTTTCAAGCCTTCGCGGACCCCCTATGATGACATCACATCCCCCCCTAGGAGTCTGCGGACCACAGATTTGAGAACGATTGCTCTATCCCAGGGGTAGGCAACCTTGGCTCTTTTATGACTCGTGGACTTCAACTCCCAGAATTCCTGAGCCAGCATGGCTCAGCATGGAAACCTCTCCATTTCTCCTCAGCATGGCTGCCTCAGGAATTCTGGGAGTTGAAGTCCACGAGTCATAAAAGAACCAAGGTTGCCTACCCCTGCTCCATCCGATATATTTAGAACCTGAATATGGGCGGCCATTAAATTTTACAAACGTTTACAAATAAGGAGTGCATTTCTCCCCCCCTCTCCCCAAATGTGCAAGGTCAGAATAAAGAAGTAGGTTTTATTCTGTTGGATTTGTTGGATCCCACTGAATTAAAATGGCATTAAATTGTTAAACGCATTCAGAATTACTTCTGCCGTAATTGTTATTTTTTCAGTCCCGTTACAAAATACAATTCAGCAGCAGGTTTTGGAGGCATTAATGTATGCTTTCTACTTCAATCTAGGTTGACTGAGAACAAGCCATGATATGCAACCCACATTTGATTTTGTCCCAGGTGCAGGCTACAGAATCTTAGTTTTCTTGTTACATTTCAACCAAGCCCCAAAGATCAGCGGGATTAGAAAAAATAATGAAAAGGCTAAACGATAAGCAAAACTTTCCCCCCCCCCTTTTGATTCCTATAGGCTCTGATCAAATTATGGGACTTTATGAAGGAGTTTGCGATTCTCCCTGTTCCTCCTCTGCCTTCTGACTTGCTGACGTATACAGAGCTGGTCCTGGATGATCAAGGCCAGTTGGTACAGATGAATAGGCTTCCTGGAGGGAATGAGGCAAGTCTACCTGTTTGGTTTATTACCTGCTTTTTATACAGAAATCTCAGATCTCTCCTGTCCTCTCCTTCCCTCTCTCTCCTCCTCCCTCTCCCTCTCTCCTATCCTTCTTTCTCTCTCCTCCTCCTCCTCCTCTCTCTCCTTTTCCCTCTCTCTGTCTCCCTCTCTCCTTCTCTCTCTTTCTCCTTTCCTCTCTCCTTCTCTTTCCCTCTTTCCCTCCTTCTGTCTCCACCTCTCTCTCCTTCTTCCCTCTCTCTCCCTCTCCCTTTCTTCCACTCTCTCCCTCCTTTTCTCCCTTCTTTCTCTCCTCCATCCTCCCACCCTCATACTCCTCCCTCTTCCCTCTTTCTCTCTCTCTCTCTCCTTGTCTCTCCCTCCCCTCCCTCTCTCTCCTTCTCTCTCCCTCCCTCTCTTTCTCCTTTCCTTCTCTCTCTCTTTCCCTCCCTCCCTCCCTCCCTCCCTTTCTTGCTCCCTCACTAACTCTCCCTTCCTCCTTCCCTCCTTTCTCTCTCTCTCCCTCTCTCTCCCTCCCTCTCCTTCCCTCTCTCTTACTTCTTCCCTCCCTATCTTAACAACTGTTTCGTTTTGCTGACAAGTTCAAAGCAAGGTTGGGATTTTTTTAAAAAGCAATAAAGTACTTGGCATCTCAAAATTGTTGTTTTTTTTAAAAAAAAAATCCAAATATTGAATCTTCTGTTTATCTTTCTAATATCAAAGATACGAAGCCCTGTGGAATCATCGTCTGAGCACCGTTGTTTGCTTGCAGACCTTTCACTACCCAAATAAGTAAAACCATCAATGCTAGTGAGTGTGGGGTTTATGCCTGTTTATATACAGTAGCTTGTCCTGCCAGTGTTGGTGGGGTCTGGTTTTCTTCTTATTGTTCCTTAATGAGGGTATTGTTCTTTGTTTGATTGTTTGGCCTCATGTGCACTGATGATGTTACCTGGTTGGGTAACGAAACGTCTGCAAGAAAACCACCAAGCTCAGAGAGCACCAAGGACCCCCTCATCTCAACCCTGATCTACAAATATTCTCTTATATTGGAATATTAAGCCATATTCTGGTGCCGACTGTCACTTGTCTTCATATCTGTGTGAACCCTGGAATGGGCGTCGAGAGACCCAGTTTCATTCTTTGTTTTCACTCTGTACTGGGCTTACGGATAAGATATGAGAATAGGGCTAAGTTTAGATCACCGTTTTCACAAACTTGGCAACTTTAGGATGTGTGGACCTATCTCCAAGAATTCCCCCAGCTTATCTTATTATTGTGGTTGGTCACACAATCAGATATTTAGACTGGATTTGGCATTTTTGTTCACCTATCAAGTTCTTCCCAAGGATAGGCAGATCTTGTTGTTTGATGGTGTTAAAATTAAAAGTGCTTTTTTCTGCATGTGGTTAGAATGGAGTATTGCAGGCTAACTTTGCTCACTGCCAGGAGTTCGATCCTGACCGGCTCAACCTTCCATCCCTCCGAGGTCGGTAAAATGAGGACCCAGATTGTTGGAGACAATATACTGACATTATAAACCGCTTATAGAGGGCTGTAAAGCACTATTAAGGGGTATGTAAGCCTAAGTGCTGCTGGAATTGGGTATGTCTAGTTTAATGAAGAGAAGGACGAGGGGGGACATGATAGCAGTGTTCCAATATCTCAGGGGCTGCCCCAAAGAAGAGGGAGTCAAGCTATTCTCCAAAGCACCTGAAGGCAGGACAAGAAGTAATGGATGGAAACTAATCAAGGAGAGAAGCAACCTGGAACTAAGGAGAAACTTCCTGACAGTTAGAACAATTAACCAGTGGAACAACCTGCCTCCAGAAGCGGTGAATGATCCAACACTGGAAGTTTTAAAGAAGAGACTGGACAGCCATTTGTCCGAAATGGTTTTCTGCCTGAGCAGGGGATTGGACTAGAAGACCTCCAAGGTCCCTTCCAACTTTATTATTATTATTACTACTATTACTATTATTATTATTATTATTATTATTATTATTATTATTATTATTATTATTATTATTATTATTATTATTATTATTATTACTGTTGCTATTCTTTGATGGTGTTACTATAGCCATCCACTCCAAAAGACTCGGGGGGGGGCTTACAACATCAAAATACATAATTATAGCTTAGATATACTTTGGCTATGGATTGTCAGGCACTAAAAGACCACATCCACAGGTGATGATCCAGTCAAACTGACTTATTGCTAAACAGCCTATGTACAGGAATCTTCTCAATTAACAGTTAGCACCTATTAAGAATTAGATAAGAGTCTACAGAATTCAAGGGAGGTGAATGTCCTTTGGAGGACATTCAGAATACCCGTAGTCCTCTACATATGACCATTCATTTAGGGACCAGTTGAAGTAATGGAGCTCACCTGTGGCTACATAGGAATTCTAGGCTGATTCCTCTTTTAACTCTGTCCCCAGGTTCTCCCATTGTTTCCCCTACAGGACCATTATCATATAATAATAATAATAATAATAATAATAATAATAATAATAATAATAATAATAATAATAATAATAATAATAATAATAATAATAGTAAAGTTGGAAGGGACCTTGAAGGTCATCTAGTCCAACCCCCTGCTCAGGCAGGAAACCCTATACCATATGGGTTTTTTTAATATTGTTTTTATACCTAGCTCTTTTTTTTTGTATTGCTTTTATTTTTTTTATATTGTTTTCCTGGAATTGTACTAAAAAAAGACCCTACCATTATGTTTCACATTGTGCTTGGTGTGATCTAACATCACTGTTTGGATTACTGGACTTTGTGTATGTGAAGTAGATTGAATTTACTTGAAATAACAGTATAAATATTTGTTACGATTACATTGTGTTGGTTGATTGGATGATTTGTGTAAAGAATAGTTTTATTGGAACACTTTGTGAAGGAAGAGTGGGGAGAGGTTATACAGGTCGTCCTTGACTTACAACATTAATGAGCCTGCAATTATGGTTGAATATCATCCTGGTCATTAGCAATAGCACTTAGACTTATATACCGCTTCACAGTGCTTTACAGCCCTCTCTAAGCAGTTTACAGAGTCAGCCTATTTGCCCCAACAATCTGGGTCTTCATTTTACCGACCTCGGAAGGATGGAAGGCTGAGTCAACCTTGAGCCGATGAAGATTCGAACTGCTGAACAGCTGGCAGTCAGCAATCAGCAGAAGTAGCTGCAGTTACTGCAGTCTAACCACTGCACCAATTTTTCCAATTTAGCACTTTCCAGGTATGGTGAGTTTCTGTTCTTATAATCCTCAATTAGCCAGGATGATCTTAACTCTGAGACTGAAAGAAGACAGCAGGTTTGCAGAGAAAATGTTCTTCCTGTCATTAAAGGGACTCGGGAGTCCTTCCTTTGGAGGACATTCAGAAGACCCATTGTCCTCTACATATGACCATTCAATTAGGGATCATTTGAAGTAATGGAGGTGCTGAAAAAAAAGGGACTTATAACTAGTTCTCGCGCTTATGACCATCACAGCATCCGCACTGTCACAAGAACGTAATTCAGGCACTTGGCATTCTTGATGGTTGCAGCATTCTGCAGTCTTGTGATTGCCATTTGTGACCTTCCAGACAACGTGGAAGCCAGCAGAGTAAGTCACAATCGTGGTCGCGTGGTCCTCGTTTAACGACCACAGTGATTTAATTTAACAACCATGGCAAACAAGGTTTAAAATCGGGCGTGGTCACATGATTCCTTACATAACAAGCGCCCCGTTCAACTATGAATTCTCCAATCCCTATTGTGGTCATAAGTCGAGGACTACCTGCATTGTTCCACCTCATCTTGCATTATAGGGATAGTGGCAGTGTGCACTTCACCTCCTTTAATGTTTTTTAAAAGACATCTGGAAGAGGTCTTTGTCCCAATCAAAATAGACCTGTTTTAAAGTTAAGTTGCAATAAAGGAAAATATTTGTATAATAGAATAGAAATGTAGAATAGAATAGAATAGAAAAAAATAGAATAGAATAGAATAGAATAGAATAGAATAGAAATATAGAATAGAATAGAATAGAATAGAATAGAATAGAAATATAGAATAGAAATATAGAATAGAATAGAATAGAATAGAAATATAGAATAGAATAGAATAGAATAGAATAGAATAGAATAGAAATATAGAATAGAAATATAGAATAGAATAGAAATATAGAATAGAATAGAATAGAATAGAAATATAGAATAGAATAGAATAGAACAGAAATATAGAATAGAATAGAATAGAATAGAAATATAGAATAGAATAGAAATATAGAATAGAATAGAATAGAATAGAATAGAATAGAATAGAATAGAATAGAATAGAATAGAAATATAGAATAGAATACTGTCCAGTCTCTTCTTAAAAATCTCCAGTGATGGAACCCCTACGATTTCTGGAGGCAAGCTGTTCCACTGCTTAACTGTCCTCACTGTCAGGAAGTTTCTCCTTAATTCCAGGTTGCTTCTCTCTTTGGTCAGTTTCCAGCCATTGTTTCTCGTCCTGCCCTCTGGTGCTTTGGAGAATAGTTTGACGCCCTCTTCTTTGTGGCAGCCCCTCAAATACTGGAATACTGCTATCGCGTCACCCCTATTTCTTATTTTCTTTAGACTAGGTTGAATGAGGGGTCCTTGGTGTTCTCTGATCTTGCTGGTTTTATAATAATAATAATAGTAAAGTTGGAAGGGACCTTGAAGGTCATCTAGTCCAACCCCCTGCTCAGGCAGGAAACCCTATACCATTTCGGACAAATGGCTGTCCAATCTCTTCTTAAAAACTTCCAGTGTTGGAGCATTCACCGCTTCTGGAGGCAGGTTGTTCCACTGGTTAATTGTTCTAACTGTCAGGAAGTTTCTCCTTAGTTCTAGATTGCTTCTCTCCTTGATTAGTTTCCACCCGTTGCTTCTTGTCCTGCCTTCAGGCGCTTTGGAGAATAGCTTGACTCCCTCTTCTTTGGGGCAGCCCCTGAGATATTGGAAGACTGCTATC